AGGGACAATATCCACGCCAGGTTTATATTTACTGCTTTATCAGTGTGATGCAGTGCCTTACATCTTTGTTTTTTTTCCCGAAATCGTGCAAGTTACGGCAACCCTATAGCCCTAAAGGCGCTCTTATAAGGCTATCTGAGTTTCGTAACCCGCAGGTGCTCTGTAAATGACACCTTTCGATTCACAGAGGAGGTGGCGTCCCAGTAGAATCTCTCTAGTCCGAAATTCACTTCTGGGAATTCCCAATGGTCTCCAGGAATGCGAGAATATTTTCAGAAATTTGAACGTGAATAAATCATGAAGGAAATCTCCCCATCTATCTCACATTCCTGGCTTTCCATTGGAGAACGCAATCGACTACCTACACTGATATCTACGTACATGAAGCGGAAACTGAAAATGGCACGTAAATCGGCACCCAGGAGACACGAAACCTCTAAGAGACACACACGGCGCGACACACCAGGAAATCATCAGCCAACTAATTGACAGCTCGCAATGAGTAGTAGTAACTGAGGAAAACGTAGACGACGACGACGACGACGATGACGACGACCAATCAATTCTGATCGATTTTCTCTCACATCACAATCGATCAATATCTACCAGAGAGGTAACACAGCAAGCTAGTACCAACCGGCGTAAAACGGTGTCGTCTTCTGGAGCTTCGGCACACGTCGCGTTGTTGGCGGTGTCTTCCATACGGCAGCAGGGGCTCGTGTCGACGTCTTCACCATCGTTGGCGATGTCATGGCGGCAGTCGAGCGAGTGGCGTTCCGCGTCAGATGCGTCCTCCATGCCGGTCCAGTCACCATCGGTTCGGGAAGCAGATCGACACTGGCCCAGATGCTATCCCCTAGATAGTCGGGATTCTCTTTAGCCGCCTCGCGAACGCTCTCATACGGTCGAGGCAATACGGTGACCGTGCGTGTCGTGGTGTGTTCTAGAGGTTTCGTGACAGGTGCTTGTTGCACATCGGCCGACGCCTCGTAGTCGGCGTCATAGTCAGAAAGATAAACGACTCGAGGCGGTCCGGTCGTGGTCGCCATAGTGGCTGCAGCGGTGGAGGCGGCTGTGGTGCTGGTGGAGGTGGTTGTGGTGGGTGTGGTGGTGGTAGTAGTGGTGGTGGAAGTTGTGGTGGGAGAGGTGGTGGTAGTGGTTGGTGCAGGTGTTGTTAGCATGGTGGTGGTGGTGGTGAAAGGGCGGGTGGACGTCGACTCACCCTTCGAATGAACAGCTCGGCGAGGAGCTGTCGCTGCAGACGGGAGGATGGGCGTGAAGAAACCTGAAAATAAATCTTATCGATTGCTATCCCATTTTTTGAAACACTGAAATAATGCTCCATGAATAAGCTTTAGTAATCTTGAAGTGTGCTCTTTCCACATTTTTGAATTCTCCTAAGGAAAATCTACTTTACCTCAACAGTAATTTATATGAATAGCTACTATTACTCATCTACTCCACTCTAATATATTTCACCTTAATGCAGGTGAATTTTACAATTTTTTTGGTAAAATTTTCTACTTTCTGCTAACTACGTAATAACTTCGTATAGCATACATTATTGTTAGGAATTTTTGTGCGGACGTGGTGCAATTTTACTCAACTTTTTTCCGCCAGCAAATTGTTCAAGTAACCGAAAAAAAGGCGGGTTGGGGGCATTGCGTAGCCCACGCTATTTGAACTTTGATTGCAAACAATTCCGTAACTGAGACGTCTCCCGTCGAATACGAAAAAAGTTTGTGATAGCTTTCAAATGACGAAATGGAAGAGGAGAACGCGCTTTCAATAGCGCTGACAAGATTCCAGAAGAATGCGCCATGAATTTGACATAGTATAGTATTGGTCGAGGAAGTAAGTCAGCAGATTTGTGTAGTCTGTTTATTCCAGGTCCTGTACTCCGTGTGGAAGGGAGAGTTGTAGGTACAATTTAACAATTTTGCAAACTTGAGCGCAGCGAAAACAACAAACTTGTCGATCTGTTTCGGTCTCTATTATTATATAGCGGGCATTTATCAGGAAGAACTAGGGAGGGAAAGCTTTTTATATCAACATTTTCCCATCAATTAACAGGAACCTTAAAAACTAAACTTATTCCTCATAATAAACACAATGAATGCACGGAGCAATCTCGAAGCTTCGTGCTTTCAGGTACCCCTGCAGCAGTAAAGGCTTTCCCAGAGCTTACGCACTGAGGGTTAATTGATCGGATCCAGTTGTGAGGGCGCTTCAAATTACAGGTATAACCAATCCCGTGATTGACCTAGCTGTAAGGAATATTGCACCTCGATAGGCACGGCCCGTCAGCGATGGCAAGAAAGCGAAAAATATGCAAAAAAACACCCTCGGTCACATTTAGCACCTATCGCTCGAAGGACGCTCCCCCTTGGAAAATCTCAGCACTGGTATCGTATTCTCCCCCGCGACTTACCAAATCAGAAGAACGCATAAACTAGTGAGAAACTCATAAAGGGGCGAAGGACAAACCCCACCCATACAATCCAGCTTGAAATGTGAGCTTACGAAATTTCAGAATTTCTCCTTTCTACGTAAGTGCAGATACACCGTTATCACAATTACATTCATTGACCTGTGATGTGTAGAAAGAGAGTTTTTGGAAAGGCAAAGAGAAGCGTAAATGAGCTACTTTTTCCAGCAACGAAAACAACCGAATTATTGTTTTGCAATATTCTGCTCGAACAAAGGCGGACTCTAATGAGTGTTTTTCCGAGTCGAGAAATTCTTTGCTTCAGCGGGTTGTCATTGTTCGATAGCCATTTAATAACTCTCTTCCCATAACATGAGGAATGCGTGGTGTAATTTTGAGGGTCTGTATAGTAACTCCCAATTTCTTCGCCACTCAAAACCTTTTTCCCATACATTGGCTAGTTGGCTAATTATTCACCTCCTTAGGCAAAGGGACAAGTGGCTATTAAAGTTTGCGATTCGCTTTGCGCCATGCATGCAACTACGAATGGAAAATCTGATGGGTTAGATAATAAAAGGAAAAATTTCGGGTACATCGCTCATACATTTTTGCCTGTGCACTTTAAACAGGCGATAAGTATTGGATTCTTGGGTGATAATGAGCGGATATTGGAGTTTCTAGACAGCTGCTTTTAAGTTCATATCTACTGGCAGAATACTTCGATATTACCTGAAAAAGAATGGTTCAGTCACCACAACAATTTTACTCATTTTTTCTTGATAATTGATATCCCTTATCATAAATGGTGTTGAATTACGTAAGAAAAAGTGTTTTGTCACTGCTTATGTTATGGCACACGCTTAAGACCTCTTGATTCGCGCCCTGGTCAAATTTATAAAAGTTTTCATGGCAAGGTTGAAAAGAAGATGGTGCAGTGGCCACCACCAACGTAGTCTTCCAGGTGCACTCTTCACAGGTTCGTCATCGATCAAGTGCCACTTAGTTAAGCCTTAATGGTATAGAACTTTGAATGTCGTACCCAAACAAAAACAACTACATTCTTCCTTTCAACCTTTAAAAGCGTAATTGAAACGCAATACATTGGAAAATCGAAAAATAGGTAAACATTCCCGCTGTTCCGCCAGAAATGGGTTCAAATTGAAAGAAGAACTTTTTTGGGTTCATTCGTAATGCTAAACAAATTAAGTATCAATGAACTCTATATTCTATAAGAAGGGCAATTTTGTGATGAGAAGCTTAGGCTATCGATCTTGATAAATGCTTGGTCCTGCTGGTGAAACTCCAGTTCGGGGGGGGGGGTCCCCTGTTATCTTGTCCCTCAGGGTTGAAATCCAAGGAAGTACTAGAGAGCACTTCCTTGGACTTCAACCCTAGGGTAAGATAATAGGTAAACGACTCATTTCAAGTGCACTTTTGATAAGGACCGGTGTATGCCCTACATCACGCACATCCTGCTCACATCCTAGGCAATTTATGGCATGTGATCGTCCACCCTGGGCTCCTAAACACAGGGTGACGCTTTACAAACAGGTCAACCAGCCGTTGGACAAAGTCTCATCGGACGGGGGGTGAGTGGTGGATAAGAGGGCGTAGTTCGCTGAGAGCGTTCAGTGTTAGCCGTAAGGAAAGAGGTGAATTTTTTTTATGGAAGGGAGATGCATATTTGGTTGACTGGCTGGGATTTGAGTGGCGCTCTCACCTCTCCGTCTCGACGGAGCAATTTTGGAGAAACGTGGCGCGAGTTGGGCTGTGTCCATGGTTTAGAATCAATATCAAGAGTCGGGGTGTGAAAGGATTGGTCGTGAAGTGGTTAACACTTAAGGGGTGGGGGTCGTAAATTTGCGAAAATTGTTCAACGTGACGGTTGACCTCTGCTCCTCCCCCTTATGTCCTACGATCGATACCCATACCCCCCTAGTCCAGGACCATTTGTCTTAACGGGCAACAGCGGGCCGAAAATCTTGAAAGCACCTTATTAGTACCTCCACTACTCACACGCGGTCTTATCGGAAGTAATTTCGCCATGACTATATACGTGCTATGAAACCTCATTCCTTACGCCGTAGTAATCGAAGACTGCAATGGAGGTTGTACGGAGATCAAAAAACCCAGAACACTCGAAGGAATCTGTGTCACCGTTTCGCTCTCCATCAGCCCGAAATTCTTTCTCAAAAAAGAGACATAGAGAGGGGCCCATTTACATCCTTCATTTCCAAACGTTGTGCGAAGTGGCTAGTACTTACCTCGCTTACCTTTGTTTCATTATATTACGTGTTCGTTCTGGCATAGTAATAACAACCAGTTCTCACAAATGGCCAAAACAAAAGTGGCTGGCATTGCCAGTTCCGCCTACCACACATTTGATCTCAGCTAGGATTCATGAAAACATATGAGTAGTGTCACCCCAGTAAAAATAGCTTCCAGAGTGCGGTAGATGGGCACCAATGCCAAAGACTCGTAGAAATCAGACTTACACCAATGGCTCATGGTGGATGCCGAAGAGCATGTATCTCAACGGAATCAATGTCATCGGAAAACTTCAGTAACTAATATTACCTCTTTCTGCTAATGTACAATAGTTGAGGGAGGACATTCGAGTGAGTGAGCCACTCATAACACTCGGGACTTAACCTTACGGAGGGACGGAAGGGAAGGGATTTTGGAAGGTATGAGTAATCTTCTCTTTCTGTCGTTTCTTCAATCTCTTGGGCTTAGTCTCAGTTCGCGGTTTTAAAATTGCCCTGTTTTGTATGTCCCCCTTGATTTTGGCCATTCAGAAAAGTTGCTCTACCTTGTCGTACCGCTTATAACCGACTTCTCATTCTATTCAGAGCATTTTTCGATCAGTCTTCAGAACGAAAGGAAAACTGCTTGTTCTATGAAGTGAAAAGAACAATATAGCTGTCCAGAATAGGTATCTTATATTTCTCGAGTTGAATAAAGAAGAAATGTTACTGAGGTAAATAAAGAAAATATATCAGTGGATTTTTGGCTACCTGCGACCAGTGCCATAAAAGGTGAATAGCAAACCATTTGTGTAGTCCGAACTGGGCACCTCGAGTGGCCTGAGGTCCTTGAGTGGTGGTGAAGTAGTCGCAGCGATAGCATCGCTTTCACTTCCTCTGATAGCAGACTTGGCACGATTTCGTGCCAAATCGTGCGCTCGTGCCTTGTTCACATCGTAGTTGGGTGCAAAACGGGGTGGAGGTGCATTCAGACGACATTTGGGCGAATTCCAGTCCATCAGGCACAGAATCGGCAACACCGTACTCGTCATGATCATCCTCCATAGGGGGCGTGACCTGGTGATGATGACGTCATCGGTGAACAAAGAATGCGCGAGCGATTAGGTTACTAACGAGGTAACAACGGCTGGTTGAGTAGCTGGAAATCAGACACCTCGGACAGAATCTGGTATTATCCCATAGAGGCAGAGAACGAGGTACTTTGATAAGGTTCAAAATGAAGACCGATTTTTTGAGCTCTGCTGGATAGAAGAAGTCAAGGCATGATAGGAAGCAGTGAGTGAAGGATGAATGAGCTGGGAGCGGCTGTTGGCATCCATCGGAGATGAGTGCCGTTTGAGCATGATAATGAAGTGCGTCTGCGCAGTCTGCAATAGCGTACTTTTCATGCCGAGAAGGTTCATCCATGACTGATTATTGGGCAAAAAAATGCTCACTCAATGGGGTGTGCTCGTTCTACTCAACCCTCTATTCGCACCGAAGAATATGAAAGCGACACACGATGAGTCAAAATGTGAGCGCCGGGAAGTGAGCTCCCGAACAGCCCTGACTGATTCGAAATTTTGACCCTACATTAATTTAACCATAAGCTACAAAAATCAACATACATCGTAAGTTACGACTACATGATCAGTCACTTTGATGAAAGCCATCGCCATTATCATTCCCTAAGTAAGTTACTACCGTTAATTTGGGTAGGAAATGATTAGAGATTTACTAGATGATATAGGGAAGGGATAATGATGAAAAGTCTAAACGCAAGCCTCATGCCTGCGAAGTTACAACACCAAATTTCAAAGATCCCCGTTTTTAGATTTCAAGTCCTTCCCTTAAATAAAGGCTGGCGTGTCTGCAAAAGTCGTCCGGAAACGCCCTACTCCCAGCAATCCTGCGTTGCTACTGTTGGAAAGGAGGAGGGGTTGCTTTTGGTCTCGCTGACGATTTCTTAGCATTTTTTTCACTCACGTGCCATCGCTTCCAAGCGCAAGGACACCTCAACTCCATCCCAACCCGTTCCTTTAGGTGCGGTAAGATTGTATGACCCTGCTAAGGCCTCTTCTTCTTCTCTTTGCGTTGATTCTGCTCCGCGGCATGGTCCTTCTATGTAATCTGCTATGTAACTATGTTAGTCCATCCTCACCCAGGGTGAATAACGGTCGAGGAATCCTCGACCATGGCTCTGTACTGTGCGAGAGTAGTGCCGAGAGTGAACGTACGCGCGGAGAGCACAGACGGCTCGCGCATGGCGAGTGTGAATGTCCGCGCGGGAGAACTAACTGATCAGGCGAAAATCCTCGACGTGCCGTTGAGGAATCCTCGACCGATATTCACCCTGCCTCCACCTCTCGCTTAGCAGCCTCATTCGTCGATTTAGCCGAAAGTACGCTCCATCGACACAGAATTTGCTATAAAGATTTGGAGCACAATGGAGAAAAAGTTGGAGAAGAGAACAAGTGAAGAGAGGTAACCCGTTAATGAGGTGTGTATAGCCTGAAGGTCTCTAAAAGAGACCCACTGAAAGAAGGTTCCCAGAACAAACAACTAGCGAAGGAAGCAGAGTATTCTGATGGAAATCCCTACAAAGGAATCGTAAAAATGTCCAACAAGCCGGCGAAGAAGAAAGAAGACGAGTCCGAGAGTCATAATAGGCTCTAATGAATTCTTCAGGATTAGTATTTTGGAATCCTGCACGACAAGATTGCAATGCAGCTGACAGTTAGGAATATCACATGAAACCCGAACGTGCACGCTCGTTTATCTTTTGTTCTTGTTTTTTTTTTGTTGATTTGCCATTACTTTTTGTACTTGTTTACGCCGATTGTTAGAACAACAGTGATACTTTTCATTGCTGTTTAGAATTAAGTATTCTTGTATAGGCTGAAAAACGTGATAAATTACCTAATTGCTTGGCCTATATTCTTGTTGTTGGACATGAAATATCTCCTCTTCTACGTTCTACACAGGAATCTATGACGAGTAAATTTGACGGAAATGCTTATACACATTCGAGAAACGGTCATTCATTCTGATTGCCCGCTTCATTCTACCGAACCGTCCGTTAAGAACATGACAATGGTTTACGCCAATAATAGTATTGGCCATGGCTTAGACGGGGCACCGCGAAGAGAGACGAATCGGTACCCGGAAATATGAGAAACTTCAATTTAAGATTATCTTTATGAAGTTTAACAGGCTGCAACTCTGATATCTCCAAAAAAGCACTATCATCAAACTAAATCGTATGAAAATGATCCAATACACTCCCAAAAATCATGTAGAATCTTATTCCATAGTCCTTATCAGCACAACAGCCGGTAATTTCAGATGGATAAAGGGGAATTTTAATAAACCTGTATCGATGGGAGAAGCCCTGATCAATGAGGTACAACCCATGTTCAGCAAGAAAGCGACTTTACAGTTTTAAGCTCCTGCTGTACACTTTCAGAGCAAACATTCCAGGATAGGGAGGAAAAGAGTTACCGCTACATATCCTCCACGCTACACCGGGAAGTGCGAGAATCTTTCGATTTGCTATTTGTAGGTAGAGTTTTCGAGTCAGAACTCGAATAATTGAACCATAAACCGATCAGGATAAGTTCGTTGCATGAAATCGATGTTGAAACCGTTCACGGTCGCCACCCGGGGTTTCGTTTGCCCAACAAAACCACCACTCACCTCCTTCCCTCACTAGTGTAATTCCGGAATTTATTCCTCCCCTTTACGAATCTAAAGCCTAACTTTGCCTTGTAGGGGCGCTTCTCACTGAAAAGGCGCCACAAATTGTCTTTCAGCAGCGCTAACCCAAACTTAGCCTAATACTGGCCCACTTGGCTTCTCGTACACTTCTCTCCTTGAAGGTTTAGTCAATTGGCTGGATGTCATGAAGGGGAGTTGAACTTATGCTATCCTAAGACTGCGTTCAATTAAAGGACTGTTCAAAGATGTTCGCACTAGAAGATGCTTCCGCAAAGAATTGTATGCGATATCGCGTCGTCTATTAGCAGTGAATGGCGAACAGGAAAGCAGTGGTAAAGAGAATGAGTTTATCAGCTATACGAAGTTATTACGTACTGATTGCTTTCTTATTATGTTGATATAAATGGTGCGTTCTTAGATTCTGCCCTAATCCCTGGAACAATACTCGAGTGCGGACAGTTGCCCGAGGAACAGAAGATGTCACAAACGTCATGAGCTATTCTGAATACAAAACCCAATTCGATGAGGACAGCGCCAAGTTACTACGGTAGTACTTGCTCAGTTGAATAGTAATCTTAGAAAAAGACTGTTGTAATGAATCTAATTTCAGTGCTACAGCTAAGGACTTCGGGTGTTAATCCCAGAGTAACGAGAAAAGAGAAAAGGACTGCTGGAAACTGTCAAAAGGCCTAAACCCAACGTCAGTGGTATACCAAGTAGGCGGGTGGTCCCGTTGCTCTCCAATCCAGCTTATAGCTTGTTTTCAAAGACACTTATACAAGGTTATAGACGTCTTGGGAGCACTCTTGTGCCTAAGTCGTTAACATTTTAGCCCTGGAATGCTCTCGTAAAAAAGGCTTCCTTTTTTGCCCATATTTCTTCTTACATCAATTTAATGGCGGCTGCAAAGCAAAGTTCGGAAGGGAACGGTCGTTTCAGTAATCTCCAGCAGTTGGTAGGATAAATATGTTGTCAGCACCGGTACCGCAGATTTCTGAATTTGCTGATGGAAACTGCTACCGCCAAGGCCGATAGGGTTAGTAGCCGATGGAACGAATTCACCTCGTTGTTCTCACTGGAATCGGTTCAGATCCCAGGAAATCTAATCAAGCAGAGTAGCTAGATGGCTAGTACTATGTTCACCCTTTTTCACACACTATCACGAAGATGAGTCAGAAGAACAAAGACGACTATTACATAAAGAATAGCAAGAAGCCTGCTCCCAAAGAGCCTACAAACGGGTAAGAAGGTAATTACCTAAGGTAAGAGCTCTCAAAATTAGAGAAAACTTCAAAAGGGACAAGAGTTGAGGAGCAAAGAACAACGAACAACATCTAGGTATCTATGGTTTGAGCACCGTTTCATGGGCCCTAGGACAGATGCCACACGGGACAGTACTCTGTCCATCGTTGATAAAAATGCGCAGTTCGAAATTTTGATAATCTACTGCACATGCAACAGGGGCTGGGTGTCGAAAAACCAATTAGACTTTTTCAAGGTGAAAATCAAAAAACAAGTTGATTGGAGAGTAACTTCCGAGACGGGAAAGCACTCGCCTTGATGCAACCCTGCGTTACACACGAGACAGACTCCCCATGACGTAACAATGACCTCTCCGAGCTAGGAGAGGCATCATGAAGCCACTGGATTATAAGAAAAGGATTACGCTAGTCTTCTCGAATCTCGCCTACATAGTCAAGCCCTAGAATGAATCTTGAGCTCATTGTTGTGCGCTAGAATTGCTTAATGGGTCGGTTTTACGACGAACATGGGTACAAACGAGAGAGTGAGTTCAATGAAAACTTTCAGAAAGACAGTAAGTGAGAGATTGTTTCAAGCGATCTTTTCCATTTCTGGTCTCCGAGAGCGAGAGCTGCAGGTTCGATTCCCGCCTGTGGCGAAGAGTTTTGCCCATAGCCCAGCATTCTTATGGTTATTTTTACATGGCGGACTGCGGCCAAGAACAGCAGTTAACAATCGAAAACAAGTCTGGAATTCTTATTTCCTGTGGTGGTTTCGAAAGCAAAAATCCAAATCAAAGTTCAGGCAGGTGATCTACACTTTTCACCTGACTATTATAGCATTTCTTTCACTATTCTGCCCAAGTGCTCAACCCTGTGCTAGCTATTTGTCAGTCCTGAGTGCTAATGGACCACATTTATTGTTGGCATTTTTTGTGCGCTTGTACTTTTCAACTAAAGTAGAACGCCCACAGACGGGGAACGAGCCAATGCAAAAACGAAAGTTATGCCGAGAGTTCACTACGAGCAGGTGCTGGGAGGATTTCTATCCAACCTACATACGAGGACAGTGATCCCTTGAGCTCAAGCGTTTCTGATGG